GAGGGTTGCGATCCTGTTACCGGTCAGTAAAAAAGACAAAAAAGGAAAAAAAAAAAAAAACATGATGGAGTAAAACGGCAGAGTTAAAGAAGCTCTTGCTCGGGAGTACTAAGACTTGCTTCCCCACAGTTGGCAACTCTGTCATTCCCTTCCAGGGTCATTCATATACCTAAATTCACGACTGACCCCTGCCTCCTTTCTCCAGTCTATGTGCCAACCTGCCAAATGTACACCTTCCTAAAGCACAGCTTTAATCATGGTCAAAGCCTGTCCTCAAACATTAGAATGGCTTCTCACTAGTTATTAAATCTAAGCCTCTTAACCTACTTCCTATGCTACATTTTTTCAGTTTTACTTCCTACTACTCCACCCTAACTATCCATCAGCCAAAGTTAACTTACTACTTTTTGCCCACAGAGATACCTATTTCTATCTCCCATCTCAGTTTACTGCATCTTCTATCAGGAACACTCTATTTAAAGTCCAGCCCATTACTACCTTCTTCATTCAACATGTGGTCACATTTGTGCCAAGCACTGTGCCAGGCACCAGAAACAGTGACATGTAGTTGTATGGCCTCTATCCTTGGTAACATAAACCACAACAAAATGTATTAAGTGTAATTACAGAGATAAGAAGAAAGTGCTGTGGAACATTTTGTTCCACAAATAACAAAACCACATTCCCTCTTTCCCCAGCTTTAAGATTTTTCATTTTTTCATCAGCTAGAACACGAGTCTTTCAAGGCAAGGAAAGGTACTTCGTCTCTACTGTGGTTTAACTTGTGCATGCATTTCTCTTTCCTCTGCTGCTATCAGCATCACCTGAGTATGTGAGGCACCGTGAGAAAACTAAAGATGAATGAGGCGAGGTTCTTGCTCACAGCTGTGTCTGTGGGGGGGAATGGTAAAACGGTTTAACACGGGTAACTATGATATAAGGCAAGCTTCCGTAAGTGTTCACAGGACAAAGTGGTACGGGAATCAAGTAATTCTGACTGGAGATAGAGGCGACCATGGAGATTTTGAACTTGAGCAAGATTTTCAACAGGGGAGACAGAGAGGGAAGGAGAGAAAGAAATGGCGTTACAGAAAAAAGAACAGCAGACGGCCTGGTGTGGCTTTCCTCACCACATGCAGGTGCAAGCCTAGCCCACAAGAGCATTACATAAATATTAGGGAAATAAATCTGTCCCCCACTCCCCCATTTAAGTTCATGAAAAGAAAGGTCCAGCAAGCACTTGTATTATTCAAAAGATACAGGTTTTCATAACATTTTTTTAAACAACTAAAACAAATTAAAAAGGGGAGAAGAGATAAGGCTGAAAAAAGAAATACAACTTAGATTAAAATAAAGAAGAAGCTCAAGACTTTTACTTCCAAGTTCACATGTTCTTCATGAAGTGATGTTCCTGAGGAACAAACTAATTTAAAAGCAACATTTCTAGCTTATTCAAATACTATAAGGTAACAACAGCCAACACTTCCATGCTTGTATGTACACTGTTCTAAGCATTCTACATATACTATCAAGTAATCATTATAACAACCCTTAAAGTAGGCACTTAATGCCTCCTTTTTTTTGTGGCAGCTGGCTGGTACAGGGATCCAACCCTTGACCTTGGTGTCATCAACACTGCACTCTAACCAGTGAGCAATTGGCCAGCCCGTGTCTCCATTCTGAGAGAAAAAGAAATGTCACTCAAAAAAGTGGAACAAGTTGCCCTAGCAAGGCCAAGACCTGACGGTGGGCAGTCTGCTCCTAAGTCTGTGCTCTTCAACCCTCCACTGCTTTTACTGAAGCAGCACTTGCTTGGGAGAACTCCACAGGGTTAAAGGAATCAGTGCCTCACAGCCAGTAACAAGAAGACGTAGGTTCTTTATGTTCTTATTAGAAATATCTGTGAGACATCAAAATTATGTTGCTTTGCTTCATATTTCGAATAGAAAGATATTTCCCCCACTTCCTGTTCACATGATATCCTTTTTCTCAATTCCGTTCCATGAATACCTTAATTGACATAAGTCTGTTGTTGATAAAGGACCAGGATATTATTCTACTGAAGGCCTTATTTGCATATCAATTCAACTTACTTTTGTCCAAAAACAAGGCCATCTGCTTCTCTAGCCCCTCGGGACCCCCGCTTGTGGATTCATCTTCATATTTTAACGGGATTGGGGTGCTGGGGTCAGCTGCAGGAAGATCCATCAATTCAACTTACTTTTGTCCAAAAACAAGGCCATCTGCTTCTCTAGCCCCTCGGGACCCCCCCTTGTGGATTCATCTTCATATTTTAACGGGATTGGGGTGCTGGGGTCAGCTGCAGGAAGATCGCTTTCTTTTTTGATGCTGCTATCTACAGATTTTAAGCCCTTTAAAAAAAGGAAAAACATTTACTATACATTTAACTGAAGGTCAACTTAAAACTGAATGTAAGGAAGTATCTGAACTACTGAATACATTTAGGAGAATTTCTATTTCAAAAAAAGCCCTTTAAAAACATTTGATCTGAAAGATTTGGAAAAAACTGATTTAATTTCCAATTAAAGAAAAAAATATCACAGCGCAACACTATTCTGAATAACATTCAGATACCAACAAACAAGTGCTATTTGCATATCAAGTACAAACTTTACCGAAAAAGTGAAGACTAAACTTAAACTTACCTCCAGAACATAGCTAAGTACAAGTCTACAGCGCTCTTCTGTGTCATGACAGACTGGAAATGCACAACTGGGCTTCAGAAACAAACATTTAAAATAATTAATATACTACCCAGACAATACACTCCATGGCTCTCATCTCCTGAGAAATACTAAAACTCTACAAACTAATCATGTAGAAATGTGCTTGTATATTCAGCTTAGTGGATATCTGATATTAAGGTTAATGTACTGTTTTTGCTGCAGATTAAACTGTTACAAGCATTATCAACAAAAATCTTGCTTAACAAATTAAGTACTTAAAATTTAAAAACAATTCAGACAAAAAGTGAGAATTAGAGTAGTAATTCAGCTCAACTCCTAAACAGCACTGATACTTGGTAGCACACAGTTAGCAATACCACCAATTTAGCAGTAAGTTAACAAGTATCACCAATGGTCTCATTGTATAAATTATTTGCTTAATTAAGGAGTAAAACCAGTTAACAACCTCCATCTACTAAGTCATATTATGTGTGAAGCATTTCATTTTGCTGAATCCTGTGGGGCTGGAATTACTGTTCTCATTTTACAGACGAGAAGCAAGCATTGGTTAAGTAATCTGTTTGTGGCCACAGTGAGTGAGTGGTGGAGATGGGACACTGGAGCCCATGCTCATTGTCTGTACTTCAAAAAGTCATTGAACACAGATAAGACAAAGCCAACTAAAAACACATTTACATGAATACTTTGTATTTTTTATGTGTTTCAGACATTGACAAAAAGTGCTGTCTCTGTATAAAAGTGATGTTAACATACCACTACATCTTTAATTATCACCTAACTGCCCCATAAGTCCAGGGCCTTGTGTTACAATGCAGTTTTCCAAATAATGTAACTTTTGTAATCAATAATTATAACTAGAAAAACTTTACTCCACTGTGGGGTTTAAGCTGAAAGTGAACTAAAATCTAGATGGACAGTTAACGACATATTCCTGTGGTCATTCAGTCACATATTTACTGAGCACCCATTATGTATTCTAGACATGGAAGACAGGAGGGTCTGTACCTGTAGGAAGCTTGCATTTTAGTGAAGGAGAGGGACAAACACATACAAAAATAAGAACTTTAGGTATAGGCAGACTCCATGAAGGAGATAAAAACAGAGCATGCTTTGGCTAGAGTGGTCGGGGAAGGTCTCCTTCAGGAGGCAACCTTTCAGCCAAGACTTAAAGCTTGAAAAACAGCAGCCATGAAAAGATCTAGGGAAATGTACCCTCCAAGAAGCAGCAACAGCAAGTGCAAACGCCTTTAGATGTGCGTGATCTTGATGCTTTTGAGAGACAGAAGAAAAGCCAGTGTGGCCGTGGTAAACCAAAAAGGAAAGTGAAGGTCAGAGAGATAGACAATGTTCTAGGGTGACAAAGAGATGACAGTCTCTCAAAAACTCAATTAAATATAAAGTTTCCATCTAAAAGTTAAAATCAGAGCTTAAGAGATTATCTGTAAATATAACTGTATTTCAGTTCAGGGAACAGCCAGACTGTTAAGGCTGACCTGGATCTAATCAGAGAAAGGCAGTATACTGGTAAGTAAACTGTGTAGACACAGACTAATAGTAGAAGGACAGTCAATGTAACCCACACCAGGAGAAACCTGAAGGGTAGGAAGTTGTTAGGGTCTATCTGACACGTACAATCTGGCAGACACGACCACGGTCACACAAAAAGTATTGGCCTATATAGCATAGGGAAAATGTCTACACATATGGTTCAAAGAGCCATCCCCTTCTCTTCCATGATTCTATGTTCACCAAACAACCTACATATATGGTTTTAAAGCAACCCAAAAACTGGACAGAAGTGCCCTGGTGAGGAGAAATGATTATGATTACACACCGGTCACTGGAAAGCAAAATCCCCTACATAAAAATTAATTTATGGATGTCTGGTTTACACATTTGTCTACCATAGGCTTGCAAAATGCGGGTCAGTTACTCTGGAACAATTATAAAACCAAGTTTTGGATTTTATAAAGCTAATGATTATTAGACCCTGGACCATGAAGGATTTACTGAAACAATGCTATCCTTTGAGAGGCTACCTATATATTCAATTAACAACTGTCTGTTTTTCTACTGATAAAAATTTAATACAAATTCTAACGTGCTTACTCTGATTTGATGAATGGATTTGTATTTTTCTGGTACCGACAATTCTCCAACAGACTTAATTATAGCTACTGCTTTGTTATCATCTGACGGATCAGAGCTGGTGCTGTAGGATCCATTTTCATCGCTGTCTGGCATCTCCTCCTCCTCTTCACTGTAACTTTCATCAGAATTCTCATTTAAAGGAGATTCTGAACTTTCTTCTTTTTTAGGCTCATCCAATTGGAAAAGTTCTGAAAGCATGTAATTGGCTGAAGCAATAATCTTATAAAAAGGAAAAAAAATGTGTGACTATCAAAATTGTCTCTTCATTTAAAGTGGAATGAATTTTACTACCATTTTAACAAATTTCAGGAAAAGGTCTGCAAATAGGCTGTTTCTAGCACATAGACTATAATACACACAGAAAATTTCCCAATTCAAAGTTACAAATATTCTATGTGTGACTATCAAAATTGTCTCTTCATTTAAAGTGGAATGAATTTTACTACCATATTAACAAATTTCAGGAAAAGGTCTGCAAATAGGCTATTTCTAGCACATAGACTATAATACACACAGAAAATTTCCCAATTCAAAGTTACAAATATTCTGGATATGCTCTGTGAAATCCTCATAGGTTGATATATTTCTTATTTCCTGAAATTATTCCACCCTTTGTCTTACAAAAGACGGCAACTGTATTTCACTGGCGGTAAAAGCTTTTATGTGTAGAGTGTCATAACTAAAATATTAGCAAATGCCACCCCATATGAAGTGACAATCAGAACTTCCCTTTACAAACTATGAATACAAGTTTATCTTTAACAGACAACTAATATTTACTACACAATCTATAGTTCTAGGGGGGAAAATCCCACTAGATTAAAGAGGGAAAAGACCATGCTGATATCTCTTAAAATTAGCATTTACATATTACCATTTATTCCACACTTTTGTTGATTCTTAATTACACTTAATAGTCTTAACACCATTTTCTGATTCTTACATAAACCATTCAAGTTCCACCAAACACCACCACCACAATTAGCAATTAGATATTTAAATCAGAAATTGTTTTTGCCATTTTTGTTCAAAAAGAAATTCTCTGAGTTTGGTCTCTAGGATAATCTTTATCTCCAAACTGGATGTGGCCACAATTAAAAATAATTTGGGCATTAAAAAAAAAAAAACTACATATGCTATATACCTTTTCTAATTTAACAGGATATGACAATTAGCTTTATACCAAAAATACAGTTGTCAAATACAGACATCTGAGGATAAAAGTGGTAAAATTGTGGGGAGCATGACAGAGAGAATACTATAACAGATGCTTTTAAACACTGAAGTTGAAATGTGAGCCTTATTTATACTAACAAACTGATAACAAGGTCCATTCATGTAAATGGATCTTTTAAATACTACTATAAGTTTTCTACCTTCTATTCTATATAGTGATAAAACAAAGAAAAAACAGCACTACTCTGTTAGAATTACATGAGTTCTAAATTTATAGAACAGTGCTGTCCAAGAGAAATGTAATGTAAACCACATACAATATTTTAAATTTTCTAGAAGCTACGTTAAAACAGAAAAATCTGGGTCCGAACCCATGGCTCACTTCGGAGAGTGCGGCGCTGGGAGTGCCGTGGCCGCAGGTTCGGATCCTATATAGGGATGGCCGGTGCACTCACTGGCTGAGCGCAGTGAGGGCGACACCAAGCCAAGGGTTGCGATCCCCTTACCGGTCACACAAAAAAATAAAATAAATAAAAAAATAAAAAAATAAAACAGAAAAATCTGGTGAAATTAATTTTAATATTATTTTTAATCCAATATATACAAAATATTATCATTTCAACATGTAATGTGTACACACACATACACATGTAAAATCTTCAAAATTCAGTACATCTCAATTCAGATTAAGCAATTTTAGGTGCTTAGTAGCCACATATGGTTAATGGCTGTCATACTGGATAGGGTAGTTATAGAATATGAATCAAAAGGCTTTACTGTCCAGACAACAATTCTCTGACAGAATGCTAGAACTCTTTTAGAGAAAGTATAAATGTTAATCTTACTTGAGGATGCCTGCTTTTGTCCAACAATTTAACACAATTAAGAAGCAAAGTTCTAATAGTCCCATAGTGTTTCTTATTTTGATTCTTCTTCATCATCATGTTGCAAGCAACCCTAAAAGAAATGTTTATATCAATGTCACTCCTCATTCATCATTCTTTGCAAGACTCAAGTCTAGACACATTCCTGTTTCTTTCAAACAGAATAAGGACTTCTAAGAAACAACTAAATATTGTATTTTACTCACCTCCCCAAAGTTTATACTATGCTTTCAAAGGAAGTTGAGTAATATTTGGTACAGTATATCATATCTACAAACACACATCTGTATGTGTGTGTATACATCCCCCCCCCCATAAAAACCTAAAAAGTATTTAAAAGCCTTGGCTTGGATAGTGTGACTATACACTTTAAAATTTTATATAAGGCTACTTCAAGGGCTGGCCAGTTAGCTCACTCAGTAGAGCATGATGCTGATAATACCAAGGTCAAGGGTTCAGATCTTAATATTGGCCAGCCACCAAAAAAAAAAGGCTACTGATTCATCTTAAATTCTTAAAGCACTCACTTATATAAGAGAATGGCCACTGGCATTGTGAATGGGTTTTGGTATTTGTCTTCAGTTTCTTCACAAAGAGTAGTGAGATCATAGAGCTTCACTATGTCACTGCCACTTGCTGAAAAGAAAAACAAATAAACCTCATTTTACAGTAGTCACCCAAATCAATTATTATTCATCCCAAGAATTAGCTTACCTTTAAAAAGCCAATAGGTATGTCCTTCTTTGGTACAATTGGATTTCAGAAATGATAAGATATTCTGTGCAATGTCTTTTATGACTTTAGTAGAAAAATTAGAATTTTCCAGATTAGGAATCTCTTCTGTCTTTATCATTTCATATTTCTGTAAAACACAGATGGCAGGCAGTTTAAGAGAAAATCTGAGGCAGCAACATCTTTCTTTTAAAAAAGCAACCAAATATATAAATCCTACAAGTAAAATCGATGCACCATGAAGCAGTTTAAACCAGTGATTTTCAATCTTTTTTCTTCTCCAGTATTCCAAAGGAATCTGGTCCACCCCCATCAGCAATGGCAATTACTAGAATAATTTTCAAGGGAGAATTACTACCAGACTTGGAACCTCAGATTTAGGCATGATCTTACCTCTATTCTAACATGGAACAAATTGTACTGAAAACTTTCTTCTAGTCCACCGTAATGGTTTTCAGCTGGGAAGATGGTAAATGAAGGTAGACTTCACCTAGCAAGCTTTAAAACATATGTATTTCTGGACATTTCTGTCCCCAGCCACTAGAATCAGTGGTTTGAGGGAACAGAATCACTTGAGAAGTTTTTCCAGAAGACAATTCTCTTCCCTTGAGATACTGACTCTTCCTTTACAGGGATGGAGCACAGCGGGGTGGAGGTGGCAACAGGAGTAAAGAGGTTTGAGGGAACAGAATCACTTGAGAAGTTTTTCCAGAAGACAATTCTCTTCCCTTGAGCTACTGACTCTTCCTTTACAGGGATGGAGCACAGCGGGGTGGAGGTGGCAACAGGAGTAAAGACTGCACAGAAATTACTACCACTATTTAAAGCAACTCAGTATTTTTTTCTAACCTGTCTTCTGTGCACAATTCCTGTGACACCTCTTACCACATTTTCTGAAGTACTCTCAAACTAGAAACTCCAAGTCAATTGTAATATAAGACCAAGCAGAGTCACTCAAGGCTGGTTTTCATCCTTCTTGGTTCATTTAAAGTTCCCAATGTTGATTATTTTCTTCCTTAAAACACTCCGCTCCTGTATTTCACACTGCACTGTTTTGGTCCTCCTCTCCTCTCCCTCTTCATCTGTACAGGGAAAGGCTCTAATGTTTGATTTTAATAAATTCTCTTGGTGATGAAATCTAACAGTATCTAGGCAGATGATGCTTCAATTTATTTCTGTAGCCCATCTTCTCTAATGGCTGTAACTTCAAAGTGCTCACAAAACACTTCTATGCTTTCCTCAAACTTAACGTGACAAAAACATATTCTCTTCCCTGCCTAAACCAATTCAATGTCTCTATCTTAGTGAAAGTACCACCATTATTCTAGTCCCTGAAACGTGCAATTCTCTGACTCTTCCTCTCTCTCCTCCTCACTAATGCTTTACCCTCCACTCCCTGCCCCTCCCCGCAGCCTCTCTCTAAATGTTCCCATTTAGGGTGACAGTATAACAGTGGTTCTCAATCAAGGCTGCAAATCAGAATCGTGTATATAGCTCTCCCAAAAGACAGATGCAAAGATCTCACCAGTCCTGGAACACTGGGGGCCCAAGCAAGTGTATTTTTTAAGAGGCCAAAAGTGATTCTGATGCACACTCCAGGATAAGAATCACTGTGTCAGAGTACTTCGGTTAAAATCATAGCCTCAGCCAGATATAGGCTCAAATATTGGCACCACTACTTACTAGCAATGTGATCCTGCACAACTCACTTGAGCTCCCTAATCCTCAGTTTCCCTCTTCATCAAATGGGAATAACAGTACAAGAGCTAGCTAGGAAGATCAAATAAAATAATGCATGTAAAGCACTTAGCAAAGTGTCTGGAACAAAATACACACTCAATAAATTGTGGACTCTCAATGTTTCCTTTGCAGTTTAAGTACATTATATTATTTGCAAACTAGTACAATGCCTGACCAGTCTTCGTCTCCAAGTCCTCCTTGCCTATCCTACACGCTATTTCCAAATTAATATTTCAACACAACAAATTTCACCTCCCAGATGCAAAGCCCTCCCTTATTCCAGATAGCCAACCAAGTCCAAGCTTCTTAGCTCAGCATCTTAGACGCTCTGTTATTTGGCCATGACTTTTTCAAACTATCCTGCTACGTGAATCTGTGTTCCACACTGGATTTATCAATTCCTTCCTTTACTGATTCTAGTCTTTTAAGCTCCAGCTCTTCTTTTTAAAGATGCTAGCTAATCATTCCAGACCCAGTTACGATCCCATTTCTTCCATGGTCTTTCTCTCAGACCGAAACAGAAGTGATCTCACCTTGCTCTGATTATCCAGACTTCTGTGTGTTCTACACTTCTAATACTTATCTACTGTTTCCAACTATTCTCTCTGCACATCCTTATTTCCCATGAGATTATCTCTTTCTGAGTAGTGACAAACTTATTCTGTTTTCCCCAACATGTACAATAGAGACAAAGTGTCTCCTTAGCAAAATGTGCTAGTAAGAATTTGTTACATAAGCTATCTATCTACCCTATGACATTTTCACTGTGGCCTTTCCCTAAAACTTTGCATATGCTGAGTAGATATTTGCATAATGAAGAAACACTTCCAATGTATAGACACTTTCAGTTAATTACTATGAATTCTATAGCTACAAATGTAGGTTTAAGTATATTTATGACCTCCTACAAATTACCTGTAAAATTACACTCCTGTAACATCTAGAATCCTAATATCACCAATTTAAATGGGAAAACACTCAAATTTCAGTTTATTCACAGCTATCTTCCCTGCCAAAAATATACCTTAGTATTTAAGGGCCTTAAAAACTTTGGTGAGGTACTTTCTGCACCAATTTGGCATTTGAGAGATTATTAGAAAAGTCACACTGTATCTTACCTGTACAATTCCATTTACATGAAAACACATCACAAGCTCTGGTACATTGCATATCAAGTTGTCCAACCAATAGTCAATTCCAGTTAGCACATTAATTGGTTTGTTGTTATCCCTAAAAATATACATTTCAACTGTTATTCGGTTTACTTAAGATGTTCTGTAATGAATCATCTGAGACTTATTTCCCCACTTAAGTAGTTTAATCTATTCCCCCTAAATGGAAAATGCCATATATGCTTTCTTTGCTGATAAGATATGTACATGTAGCTCAGTGGTTGCATTATGCTTAGCATCCTTCCAAAGCTTTGTATTTCTAACTGGTGTTGATAAGCATTCAGTAAGAATAGAAGGAAATATGATGGGAGATGACTGTAAGCCTACTGCATGCTCCTCACAGAAGCTGTGGAAAAACTATCATACCCGAAAATGCCCAATTCGGAATTCACGTTGGCTAATGTGAATACACATAAGCATTAAGAAAAATGCTCATGACCAGTTAATAGGAAGCTGGCAAACCACCTCCTTAACGAATTCAATAAACTCTATTTGTATTCTCACAGTTTGTTGATTCAAACATAAGACTAGGCCAGTCCAACGGACTTCTGACCCTATTCAATTAGGTCTAGAATGAAGACTCAGCTATAGGGCTTTCAGCATTTGCTGATAAAAGCTCCTTCCTCACTGTGGCCATTCTAATTGGCAGGAAAAGGAGGGAGGTGAAAAAACCTAGAAAAAGAAGAGGATGCCCAAAGAGACAAGGTAAAGAAGATGGAACACTGATTCTAAAGGAAAACTTTAAATAACATAAGCTTGAGGGTACGATGTTGGTTTACCTGAGACGTAAGCTGACTGCTGGATATCTGCCTCCTCCAAATATAGGCATGTTGGAGCCGACCAACATATGGATATCTTCAAATGTCCACAAAATATTCCGAACAAAATCATTTTTAAGACCCTTTGATTTAAAGTAGGAAAGATTATAATAAACAGTAGATTCATAATTTCCCCCCAAGATCCACAGAAAGACTAGAAAAATGAAAAGACAAAGGAGACAAAATAAATTAAAGTCGCAGAGTTATAAGATCACAGAGATGTCTAGAAAGCAATTTTCAGGATCAAGTGGATTTTTTTCCCTATCAGTTCCAATTTAGACTGGTTTTTAAATGACAGAGTAGACTGGGGATTAGGTGTCTCAGCCTGGACACCATGGAAAGCATACCTGACTGTTCTCCCCGTCATTGAATAAAGTAGTCAGGTTTTGTTCTTTGGGTGCTGAGGCCACATGCCCCACTATGTATGAGGGTTCAAGAGGCTCACTTCCCTGTGAAAAGTGCAAGGATAAGGAGTGATTCTGCTGCCAACATTTCCTAAAATTGACCTATTTTTAAAGAGTATCACCTAAACATTCAAAGCACACACCTCAAATCTACTTTTGTGAATTAAAGCTAATACAAATCATAACACTCATCACTAGGTGCTTTGTTTCAGCTCTTAATTATCATAGTTACTATAAAAAGCTAATCACGTTTAGATCTTACTCAAATGAGAAAGATTAAAGATTATTTTAAGCTTTCAAAGTTTTTCATTTTTTTGTTTTTTATGAATTTGAATACCAGTGCTCTTTCAACCTACCCCATCTCTACTGAATTAAAAAATTCCTAAGATACCTCAGCCATAGTTTTGAGATACTCATCATTGTCACAGTTTCCAGTTTAGCATTTCCTAATGTGTGTTTCACAGAATACTAGTTCCTGGGGTCCTCAGTGAAAATTTTCCAGAGTCAGGTTTGGAAAACGCTGCTTGCCAAATACTCACTTTGGAGAGTAACAATGTTTATCGCCATAAAAAAAAAAAAAAACAAAAAAAAAAAAAAACAAAAAAAAAAAAAAACAAAAAAAAAAAAAAACAAAAAAAAAAAAAAACAAAAAAAAAAAAAAAAAAAAAAAAAACCCCAAAGAAAATATCTAAGCCATCCTTCAGTAGAAAAATCTACTTCACCTCTGCATAATCTGATGTTTCCAAACATATTTAATTTCAGAACACTTGTTGTTCTTAATATATTCTATGGAATATATTTTGGAAAACATTTAAGAAGAGGGCCCTTTGACACTGGGTAAATTCAGTCTACCACTCAATTTTCCAACGATTAGGATAGCTGGCATTAGGAAACACTACTTTAAACCTTTAATGTCAATGCCCCAACAGACCCTGAGACAGACATGTATGTGTTGCTCATTCCATGAAATTCTGTCTTCTCATCTATTCCCATGCCAGTCAGCTCAGCACCTGTCTGCAAAGTGTGCTTGACTGCAAGCACAGGGAGATCTCTAGTACTGCTGCTGTGTCTTGTCTTCTCCCTGAGGAGTCCTAAGAGAACTTCAAATGCCTTTCATTTTATTATTTGTTTACGCAGACAAGTTATCAACCTATGGACCAATTCCCAAAATTATATTTGCCAGGTTTTTGCTTTAGTGGGAGTCTGGGCTCTACGGGTACAATGTTCTCAATAAAGGTTTGGCTCAAAGACCATACCACAGAAACCTATTTACCCTCTATTATTGCTTAACAAAGGCCTCAAACTAGCAGTTTTAGTTTGGGGAACAAGAATTCACGAGGTTTGCAAACATAATAAATCTGAAAATGTCAAAATTTAGGCAATATAATATAAGAAAAATAATCTGTATAAGATTATTTTTATGGCAGGCTAGCTCTGCTTAGGGGTGTGCCATTGCTAAGACAATCTGACTGCATGTAGGGCCCTCCTAAACATGTGTGCAGTATATGGACACAGAAGAGTACCGCTGTAAGAATAGGCCTCTGAAGTCAGAAAGATCTAGGTTTAAACCCTAGCTCAGACTTCACAAGCTATACAACCATGGAAAAACAGCTGCTTTTTATGAGCTTTAGTTTGCTTATTTGTAAAGTGATACCCTTAAAACTTACTACATATACAGCTCCAAGGATGAAAAAAATATCTATACACACTCACATATCAAAGTACATGGCATAAGAGCATTAAATAAATGCCAGTTCACTTCCTCCACATGTAAGTCTATAGGTTCTCAAGAGTCACTGAGATTTTTCACAGTAACTACTAAGGATAGAATGATAGGCTGGGAGAAGCACAAGGCAGACAGTGGGACAGTAGTATTTCTGTTAAGTGGTCTTTTTTTTAAAGCACGGTTTTTGAAGATAATGCACGCTACCTAAGGATAGAATGATAGGCTGGGAGAAGCACAAGGCAGACAGTGGGAAAGTAGTATTTCTGTTAAGTGGTCTTTTTTTTAAAGCACGGTTTTTGAAGATAATGCACGCTAAATGAATTTTTTAAAAAACTCTTCAGTGAGATATAATCACATATAGGAAAGGGCATAGAACAAATAATAGAGTATAATGGCTAAATACAAAGCAAATTACCCACATAATCATTACCCAAATCACAACATGGGACACTGCCAGCACCTACCACGTCCCTTCTCAATCACACAACATCCCCACCTCTGGGCGTTTACCAGTATGTGACTTGCATGTTAATTACTTTTTTTCCTTTTCCTTATAGTTTTTCCACGTTTGGAAAACATTTAAATTATGTAGTTTTGTGGGAAGGTTTCTCTATTTTAAAACCTACTAAACCTAAAATCAAGTTAAATGTATTTGCTTCCTGTGACCCTATGTGAAGATTAGAAACAATCTGGTTGAATAATATTCAATGTGGGAAAACACAGAAAGAGGAAAAAACATAATTTACCAACTTAAAAATCTTATTTTTATCTTCTTCAGGTTTATCAATGTATTTTCCAGAAAACAGACATGCCACAATTTACATCTATGGAGTTATTTTATTTTTTGATAGACAAAATAAGGACAAAAATAAACAAACAAGCAGTAAGAAGAAACCAGGAATATAAGAGACAAACCAGACAACATATTCTACTCACTCTTCCTTTCTAAATGCTTTATAACATGATTGTAAGCTAAGTCTCAGGAATGTCACTCTGAAGATCTTAAGGGTTATTTTAGGCCTAACAATCTGACTAAAGGTTAAGGCAAAAAAGGTCAGTATAATACTTAAACTATGAACAGTCTTGTAAGTCTCAATATTTGATATACACCTAATACATATCTAAAGTTAAAAATATACTATATCACTATATTATATAGCATTCTTATGACTTTAAGAAGCTATTATCAAACATACCAGTCAGCTATTTTAAAAATTTAAATTACTTAATAAAAATTCTGATCTAGCCATTCATAATAGCTCTTGTAAATTCTATTGTGAAAAACTAGAGAAGGTATATTTTTCTCATTTTGAAACATGAATTGATAGAATATTTCTTACTCCCATTCACCTATATTTTTAAAACAAGATAACTGGTTTTGTCTTCCTAAATGTGCTGACTGGATTAGTATTTAAGGAATAACAAACCTGACTAGAAGCACTGGGGTCTTCAGGAACTGAAGACGGCATTTCAAAGGGGGCAGGCCACGAAGCCCCTTCTGAGTCATTCGTCTGATCTGAACTGGACGATTCCTGCTGTTCTGCAGCAGGTGGGACAGGCTGAGCAGTTCCATCACCATTGATACTAGCCAAATCAGAAATTAAAAAATATCACATTGTTACTAAAGTTAACTTTATGTAACAGTCCACCCATTGATAAAAACTAGATTCTGTAATCAAGCATACATCTTGTAAAAAAGAAACGTAAAACAAGTGTTAACAATTCCATGGTGGCAAAACTTAATTACTTTTACTAGATTCAAACTAAATTTTAAATTGGAATTTCATTTTTCTTCTTAAGATAAAAATAAACAAGTAGCCAAATACCTGTAATATAAAAACTTGGAAAGAATAGCCTTCTGATACCAGTGCTCTTTGCTCTTTTTCTTCCTCTGCCATTTCTGATCAATTAGTCTTTGATAAAACTCTTTCAACCAGGTCCAATCACCAGTCTGAGTCACATAAGATATCATTAAATAAATACAACACACATGTAGTCAAAACAACTTGCTACCTATTATTCTTTTACAAGAAATCCTTTTTTATTTTTTGAATACTGCTTCATAAACACATACTCATAAATCATTTATCTTTCTGGTCTCAGTTCATACCACCTCTGTTAGGAAGCCCTTGTCTTCCTCCTCTCCCTAAGCCAGGCCGGGAGAAGTGACCACTCTAACATTTTCTTTAGTACCTGGAGTAAGCCCCACTAGCCCACTGTATTGAAATTATCTGTACATGCATTTATAACCCCAAAACCGTGAGCTGCTGAGGAGCAAGCACTGCAATTTATTCATTCACTGCCACATCCCAAGACCTTGTCCAGTGCCCAGCACATATGCATAAATTGAACTGAACTATTGTCTTTTCAAAGGGAAAAACATTTATATTAAGTGTCAACTTAAGTCAATGTAACTTATTTTCCTTTATCAAAGCACTGCAGGGGCCGGCCCCGTGGCTCACTCGGGAGAGTGCGGTGCTGACGGCACCAAGGCCACGGGTTCGGATCCTATATGGGGATGGCCGGTTTGCTCACTGGGTGAGCGTGGTGCAGACAACACCAAGTCAAGGGTTGAGATCCCCTTACCGGTCATCTTTTAAAAAAAAAAAAAAAAAGCACTGCAGGAATATTCTTTAAAGAGTAGCTCCTATGGACTGGTAGGATCACGAACTATTTATTTGTTACCAGTCCACGAAAAAGTGAGTATAGAAATGGAGAGTAAGCCTTGAGAAACTGAACATTGTTATTATATTTTACAAAAGTATCCATTCTCGACACATGGGAGAAAAACAGTCATGTACAAACATACAGTTTGAGAAGCTAGGCTTTAAGCGAATCCATCAATTCTAATAACTATTTATTCACAGAAATAGCTTTTAACATTTTTACATTTCACACGTTGGCCATGTTATATGAGAATCTCTTTAACGGAGACATCAAAGGATTTTTCAAAAATTTTAACTAGTCTCCTAAATTTCACCGATTTTTCATAACTTTCTTTATTAGCTTCATCCTTTTCCTTTTAAGAAAGAATCCTGGCTGTTGGTAGCAATAAAATAATTTTCTTCCTCATTCTCTCTCTTTCTCTCTTCTATTTTTCTTTATTAAAGCTTTTTTTTCTATTTTTTAAATATTCAGTGAAACTTTTCATTTCTTGATAGCTGAAGTCTTCAAATACATTTCCACTTTGGCCTTTCTTTGAAACAAAATTATATTTCTAGTGCACCTAAGTTGTTAAGAAAATGCTTTTCTGGATGTTTTCAATAAAAAGTATTACCTGAGATGATCGCATAAAGAGCTCTTGAATATCCAGCTCATCTAATAAGAGAGTCCTTCCTATGCGGTGTACTGCCATGCTTACATGGGACTTGCTGTAGGGAATCTTCAGGAGCTTTTTTATGTTCTTAAAAAAATTAAGAGGAAAAATAGTTTAGAAAGACCCCTTTAGTGTGATCTGGAATCCTTCAAATTTTAACTTCATTTAACTTAAAGCACAACAAACCTTAATATTTCCTTAAGGTTATACAAACTGTGCTTTACACAAAAAGCTACATGCAAATGAATGGACCAGAATCACCTACAACTTATAAGTCATACTTGTTAACATAAATGATAGTCAAACATTTATTTTAACACGATAGAATTTCTTAAAGTTAAGGGCATATAGGTCACATTGTTGCACTCACCTAGGCTTTTAGCATATCAGATAAAAGTCGCCAACTAAGAATCAATAGACTACTAGAAATACCATTGATAATTATCAACTAGTAAGAATCCCAAACATTACAATTAATTTCAATTACTATTATTCAAATACAACCATCACTATCAGTATTACCGCCACTGCCAGTGTTTGGGGGATTGTTCTCTCCTCTTTGAGGAAAGGAGATGTGCTAAAAAGTGATATTTTAATAACAGAAAAGGTATTCAATAATCAGTTTTAACTTATTTCATCACTAATTCTCAAGACCACAAAACAAAGCATGATATAAAACACCTAGCACAAAACACCCCCAAAATTAGATTAAGTAATAAGTAACACTTACTTCAGAGTCAGAGACAACATCCACATCATTTCCCACCGAATCAATGAAGTCATATGCCATGCCAAAACTACCAAAGGGAAAAAAGACCACAGGTTGATAGGTCATGCTCATAACATTGCAAGCAAAATAACAGAATACTGTATTTCATCACTTCTGGGATACACATTTTTCACATTTTAACATTTCTGAAATCAGGATTCATATATCATCATTACAGTTGGCTAGTTCTTCCTTAGCAGTATGTAAAATAATGACATCTTAAAAATCAATGGCACCTTAGATTTGACAAAACATAGTAATAATCATTAGAAGCAAATAGTAGAAAACATTGAGAATAAAAACAATTATTTTTATTTCTGTAATCACGAAACCCAAAAAAATTCTAAGAGAAAACAGATTAAGACTTTACTCTTTTTAGGTGAGGAGATAAGAAAAACAGAAACATTTATCAGGACTTTAGTTTCCAGGATTGTGTTCCTAGTGATACAAAATACTCCTCTTTAAAAAAAAAAATGAACAAAATGCAGCTGACACCAATTCAGCCACAAGGAGAAAAGAAAAAAAGATGTTAAATTGAGCACGCAACTCATGCCAGGTACCACATGAGACACATCTATAGTCTACAAGTCTGAAAGGTAGCTGATGTCATTTTCTGGAAAGTAAAGGGCAGAGAATAAGGACACCGACCTAGGACTGCCTGACTTCAAAGCATGCACTTATGGTTTACTATGCATTCCAAGCAAGTTATTAACTTTTCTCAGCTTCAGTTTTCTCATGTGCAGAATAGTTAACAGTGCCTATCTCAAAGGCTTGTTGTGAGAATTAAACGAAATAAACATATAAAATACTTAGCACATTGTATGTATACAGCCAATATTTCTCACTCATATCACCTCATAACATTTGTGTTGACATATCATAATTTATTAAGCCATTCTTCTAAAAGAAGATATTTGAGTTATTTCCAACTTTTTTTTTTAGAATTAATAATCCTACAAACAAGCCACAGTCTGCATAACTTTTACCTTCTGAGGCATTAGGATAATTTCCAACTACTAGCTCATGAGGTATTAATGTGTTTGTGGCTCTTACTACAAGTTACATAGAAATATTTTAGGTTGAATCACCAAGAGAGAAAAAAAACCCAGAACTCAACATGTTAAATGGCCTACAAGTGCATGGACAGTAAATACCACCAGGAGAATTTCCAGTATCAAAGTCAAGGGTGTACTTCACCCAACATGCTGAGTTTTTACATTAGGCTTTTTCAGACCAGACAGTCCACCACTATTTAATGAACAACTCTACAGGGCAGATCAGGCAGGGTTAAGGGTTTTCCTCTTCAAGTGCCACGCTGATTCTTTGTATTCACATATTTAAGAGGTATGCAAACTAGCTAAAATAGTTGATTAAACTTTAGTGGTCAAAACTCATCTTTGTTAATATGATATAGACTTGAAAGAAGCATACGCAGTTAATAGCTTCATACTGCAACATTATTCTATTACTGGGGGAAACAAAGGCCTTGAAAGTCAAATGTGATCTTCTTCTAAAGCAAAATCTCAGCAAGTGAATGTGCATTACAAATTAAAATGCAAAGCATGTAAAGAATTAAAAGTTAAAGAGTTTTAAGTGGGGGTGAAGGTGGAGGGGCAGGTAAAAATGCCATTGATTAATATTTACCTTGAAAATGGCTTGCTTTTCTTAGTACTGCCAAGAATGGTAGTTCCTGCTGGCCCCAATTTGGCACTCTCTCGTAACCAGTTGGCAGGTGGGAGTTTCAAGTCTGTTTTCTCTTCCAGGCGTGCAAATGCTGTTCGAGGAGGGGCAGAAGAGTATTTCACCACAGCTCGGCTCTTCACTTCATTGCCTCCAAGAAATAAAGCTGATCCCTAATTAACACATTGAATGAAACTTTAATGAACACCATGAGGAATGAAAATCTCACCTTTATAAAAAGAAAACAAGAACCCACCACATCAGGTTTCACAAGGAACATATGCTATCAGTTACTAATAGCACTGAATTCTAGCATAAATTATCACACCTATTTAGCTCTCATTTCACATCATTTCAAAGAACACAGATGAGTCAAAGAGCATGACAGTCATGGTTACTACCTAGGAAACAGGCCAACCAACCTTTTAAAATTTATTCATATAAAGTGTAGAAGCAGAAACCAAGGAGACTCAAGAGTTCCATGTTAATTAAATACAAAATTTAATAAAATCTCTCTTCAATATTAAAGAAGACGTATTTCACTTTCAACAATATACATCACTTACACAGTAGTCTGGGACTTTGTTTTTAAGCAAATGTTTAGTAATTGATTCGCCAGTACATTACTCAAATACTCTGAACCTCTAATTCCATAGCAAGGAACTAGGGGTTTCTCATAGTCTTCAACTACACTCTCCAAGCGAGCTGGGTCTCTGGGTTCACTATTCTAGCCTTCTTTCACGTGGTTCCCTTTCGGCCTGGCAAACACTCTGCACCCTTCAAGAATCAGTTCGGTCCCATTCCCGATGTGTCCCTCCCTGGCACCCTCTCTCTTCCCTTCAGCTTTGCACGACTGTGCCACATTTTGGCACCGCGTATTTACACGTGCGCTTCTTCGGAGCAGAGATCGTGTCAAACTCACCAGTAGGTCACCACCAAGGTGGGAGACAGGGCTGCTCTGGATACGAATGACTTGCAGGTAAATACCTGAATCCCTGGCGACAGGCACACGGACTTTCACTCCCTGTTTGGGGAGCCAGGGAGACGTGGCGAAGGCTCCAGAAGCTGCCATGAGCCGTGACGTCCCTCCCCGGCGGAGCGGGCCCGCAGCTCCGGGAGCCCTGGCAGGTGCCGCCCCGCGGAGAACTCACCTGTCCACAAGGTTCCTCGGACTCTCCCTGAGACAGAAGACTGAGACCTTCCCGAACAGCCGGCGGGGCCGCGGCCCCAGCCTCCGTGAAGTCCCCCATCACCTCCGTCCAGTGCAGACGAGACGAAGAGGGACCCGCGAAGACGCCACAGGAACCCGGCCCCAGCGGCGCTGCAACACCGCACAGCAAGCGCCAGAAACGCCCCGCAGCCCGCACTTCCGGTCTCTGACCGGAAGGAGTTGCTGACGCGATCAAATCTCGCGAGTGGTATCCCAGAGGCCCGGCGCCGCCTGCAGCTGCGGCTGCCCGCTTCGCGGCGGGGGTGGGAGCTGTAGTGCGCCTGCGCCTGCCAGCATCTCTTCGGGAAGCCGTTTCTCGCGGAATCAGTTGCTCAGGCTCCGCCTCTTCCACGCCGCTCGTCTTTGTTGGCAAATACTTGGGCTCGAGAGACAGTCGGAGCGGGGTGTTTTCTCCGCGGGGGAGGGGAAGTGATGTTCTCAGCGCCCCCAGAGGCTCCCGGTGTTTGTGTTAGTGAAGCGTTAGCGCTCCTCCGTCCCCAGCCTTCAGTGCCCCCTCGTGCCCAGGCGAGGGGCGATGCGGCTCGAGTCCGGGGTCCCCGGCTCGGCGTCCTCCCCCTGCATCACAATGCCTGCGTGGACCCCCCGAGTCCAGGATGTGGGCGCGGCGGGGTTCCGTGGGGAGACGGGCGCTGGGAGGCGCACGGGAGGCCCTGCACGGTCGGGGACGAACGGGTGTCGGGAGGCGGCGCCGCCGTGGGGCGTTTGCTCCGTAGGTGCTCACGGAGCCGGCCCACGGCTCGTCAGGCTCCGGGGAACTACCCGGGGCGTTCCAGGGGACCTGCGGAGGAGACGCCTGGGGGTCTCGTCAGGAGGTGTGCGGTGGGCCTGGGTTTCTGCATCTCGCAAGTTCCCAGGGAAGGACGCTAGTGCTTTGGGGAGCAAGGAGGTAGGGAGATAGCCAGGCCTGTTTTCAACCTTTGAAGGTCTGTCTACACTCTCTTCCTTTCCGACTCCGGACCCAGTATCATATCAAACCTTTAACGAGCCTCACCCATCATAAAATATTCCTATGTGGTAAAAATTTGTTTTGCGGTAAGATAAAGTTTTTAAAAACTTTAATTTTGCCTTTGCATTTTTGGGGGATCTCAATTCGTAATTTTCATGTGGCTCTGAGAACTTATTATGTGTCTAGTTGAGGAATCCTTGTGACTCTGAGCAAGCTCAATTTACAAATTGTTTTCATATGTAACAAAACATTTTGATGAATTAAATTTAAAAATGATTTTGATATAATAGTGTATTTTGTAGACATTTACTTCAACTGTATTGATTTTAATTTTTCCCTGTATTTTGCAGCCAATAATTTTTTAGCAAGTATTTATTATTTATTATAGTAAAAATGCGCAACATCATTCAGCATTCGGGAAATGAAAATCAAAACCACACTGAGATACCATCTCACTCCAGTTAGGATGGCTAATATGCAAAAGACTGAGAATGATAAATGTTGATGAAGTTGTGGAGAAAAAGGAACCCTCCTATACTGTTGGTGGGACTGCAAAATGGTGCAGTCTTTATGGAAAGTGGTATGGAGGCTCCTCAAACAATTACAGATAGATCTACCATATGACCCAGCTATTCCACTGCTGAGAATATACCCAGAGGAATGGAAATCATCAAGTCAAAGGGATACCTGTACTCCCGTGTTTATTGCAGCTCTATTTACAATAGCCAAGAGTTGGAACCAGCCCAAATGTCCATTATCAGATGAGTGGATAAGAAAACTGTGGTGTATCTACACAATGGAATTCTACTCTGCTATAAAAAAGAATGAAATACTGCCATTCGCAGGAACATGGATGGACTTAGAAAAAAATATATTAAGTGAAATAAGTCAGGCACAGAAAGAGAAATACCACGTTCTCACTTATTTGTGGGAGCTAAAAAATAAATACACAAACGAAAAGGGTGGGGAAGAAGACAAATCACAATTCCTTGAACTTGTTAAGACAAGTGAACAAATATGATGTTGATGGTGGGAGTCGTGAGAGGAAGGGGGAGGGAGGAACCGGTAAAGGGACATGAAAATCAACTACATTGTATATTGATAAAAAGAAAAAAGTTGAGTACAACTTAAATATCTAACAATAGGAGGATGGTTAAATGTATTTTTGGTACATAATAAAGAAGCCCTGTGCAACCATTAACTTGTTTTTCAAGAATATTCAAGAACGTTTAAGTTGTACATCATATAATGTTGACTGATAAAATTTTTAAAAAGCAAATGTACATATGATCCCAATTTTAAAAATATGTGGACTTGTCATATTTCTGTGTCTGTGTCCACAAAAGCAGATCTCTGAGTGGTAACACAAAGTGATTTAAAATTTATTCTTTAGAGTTTTCTTTATTTTCCTATCTTTCCTTTCTGATGATGAATTATTTTTTAATAAAATGCATTTTTATTAAGCTTTTATACATATATAATTTAGCTTCTGATAATCTTTAATATTATGTTGTTTTCTTGTATAATTACATTGTTGTAAGAAGGGATTTCCTGAGGTAGCAGTAATTCTTTTCTCAGGACTCAAATACTTTACATGCCTCTTGAGGATTAAGTGCCTGGACCTTTGTTGATGATGCCTGGTGGGAAAATGTGCTGGAAACAGCCTGTGAACAGGCAGAGAAGAAAGAAACAGAATCAGTAACGCAGCACAGGAAAGAGAGACGTCAGCAACAGAGAGAGGATCATAGGAGCTGAGGGTCTAAGGCTGAGGGGACCAGGACTCTGGGGACTTCTTGTGGAGGGAAGCCTAAAGAGGTGGTGCGTCTCCAGCAGCCACACAAAGGACCAGCAGTAGAATAATTTAGTTCGTAAAGATCCCTGAGGGCTGGAGGAATTGGGCACATCTGGGTTATGTAAAGTTTATACATTTCTCTAGCTCTGAGAGCTTATTAATTCTTTCTTTTTCCTTATTCAAACACTTTTACGTGCTGTGGTTTTCATTTTATTTTTTTTATCATTGTTTCTAATGTAAGTGATTGAAATATAATGTGGGAAAACATGGATCATTACTTCCAGAATTTCAAATTTTAAGGCACTAATTTATGTTCGTTTTGCGTTGCACCAGTGGTCTGCCTGCACCATTTCCCTCTGCACCCACCCCCAGCCCTCAGCCCCTCTGAGGATGTATGTACTCCATCATCCGTGGTCTGCTCTGCACTGTGGGTACAGCCATCCTGGTTCTTGCAGCCAGCCAGTGCCCTCACATGTTTACCTGCCTCCCCAGTGCCTGACGCTCTCGCTACTTAAGAAATGTTTGTTAAATGTTATGAGCTGCTTATGGTTTGCTGCTCCAACTACTTCTCCCATAGCTCTATATTTGCTGGTGCTTTTCCTCTGCCTAGAATACCTTTTCCTTCCTTACCTGGCTTTTTCCTGTTCACCTCTCAAGATGCATCTCAGGTATCATCTCTAATAAGTCTCTTCTGACACCTCCCCCTACATACCCCTCAAGGTTCCTTTCTTTGTTCCCATCGCTTGTATCGTTTTATCCTGCACTTGTCACATTATAGAAAAATTACCTGTTTGTATGTCTCCCTCACCGACTGTGAGCTCCTCAAAGGCGGGTGTCCCCTGTGATCATCTCTGTTTCACCAACACCAGGCACAGAACCAGCCGACAGAACTGTTTTAGCCCTTAGGCAATAGAAGGAAAATGACTCGGGCTGACAGGCTTTTAAAACGCTCATCAAAATGTTTGAGACATAAAAACAATGTAGTTGGCTCCAAAGAGTTTTTTAATCTGCAAAATCAAAGCTAAAAATGTTTCATGAAGTAGCTCCAAAATATTGCAGTGGCAATGTCATTAATTATTAAAGTTGGTGTTGATATACAGTTTGTTCCATTCTAAAACAATTTGTAGACTTTCTCAGTTTGCAGAATTCCTCCCAGCATGCAGTGTGATTTCAGAGAAATCCCAGTCAATCGTAAATTCATTTAGTTATTCACTGCACACAGTGTTTTCCAAGGCAAAATCAGAAATCATTTCAAAAACTATTAGAGTAAGACAATTATGTGTAAAGCAGATGTGGTTTGGGGGTGCTGCCAAAAGCAAGAGCCTAGGGCACTCAAAGCTCCCATGCAGCCTGGGTGGCAGTGGATGCCAAACTCTAAAAACTTCTGAACTCAGGGAACATTTGGGACATGTGCTCTTTAGTTTGCCATGGTCTTCTTCTCAACCTAGTGTCTTACACCTAACCAGTCTTAGCCATTTACTTCACTTGTTGGACTTTGGAAGGTTCTAACTCCTGATCCTGAACTGTTAGAGGTGGAAGAAATTTGAGATGATCTGAGCCAATCACTTCCTTAGCTGAGAGCAATGCAAGTCCTGAAAGAATTGAATTGACTTGTTGAAAATTATGCAAAGCTAGTCAGTAGCAAAGCCAGGACTGGTACCCAGGCCTCCTGCTCAGGCAGCCGTCTGAAAAGTTAAATTGCAGATGTAGGCCAGTGGAACTTTCATTTGTTTCATAATCACCTGAGGAACTTGCTAAGGGAAAAGATCCTCTAGCCACCTCCAGATTCTAAATCAGTGTCTCTGGGGTAGTTAGTGCTGAGGAATCTACATTTTCAGTGAGAGTCTGACAACTTTGACCTGTAGACTACACCTTAAGATAGTAGTCTCCAAAGACAATCCCCTGGGGGACCAAGCCCGTGGCGCACTCGGGAGAGTGTGGCACTGGGAGCGCAGCAGCGCTCCCGCCGCGGGTTCGGATCCTATATAGGGATGACCGGTGTGCTCAAAGCAGTGAGCGCCCTGCGGCCGGTCTCAAAAAGGATCAAAAAAAAAAAAAAAGACAATCCCCTGGGGGGCAGGAAGAACTGTAACTTTTAAAAAA